ACTTCTGGCTTTTTTCTTTTTGCTTATGTGGTACTGAGGAATCGAACCCAGGGCCTCATGCATGCAAGGCAAGCACTCTACCACTGAGCCACCTTCCCAGTCCCTGCCCTTGAGCTTTTGCTCAAGGCTAGCACTCTACCAGTTGAACAACACCACAATTTTTGGCTTTTGCTGTTTATGCAGCACTGAGGAATTAACCCCAGCACACTACCACTAAGCCACATTTCCCAGCCCTCAATATGTCTTTAAATTTTAGAGCTGAACGACAAAGGAATGAAGCACTATATAATGCTGAAGAGTTAAGTAAAGCTTTCCAACAATATAAAGAAAAAGTGGCCGAAAAACTGGAAAAGGTAAGAGGCAGTTGTACAAATTTAATATTTTGTATTACTATTTTCTAAAAATAAAGGTATATATAAGTGCAGTGTGTTTATGGTTAAAGAACAAAGTAATTTTTAGGATTTTATTCATAATAAAATATTAAAATAGAATCATTTTTGGTGGGGGGGAGGTCTGGTCGTGGGGCCTGAACTCTGGGCCTGGGCACTGTCCCTCAGCTCTTTAGCTCAAGGCTAGCACTCTACCACTTGAGCCACAGTGCTACTTCCGGCTTTTTTTCTTTTTGCTTATGTGATGCTGAGGAATCAAACCCAGGGCCTCATGCATGCAAGGCAAGCACTCTAATACTGAGCCACCTTCCCAGCCCCTAAAATAGGATCTTAAATTTATTTTTGTCTTTTTTTTTTTTTGAGACAATATCTTCCTATGCTTTCCAGGTTGATCTTAACTCAAGGTTCTCCTGCCTCAGCCTCTCAAGTAGCTGGGATTACATGCATATATCACTATGTTCAGCAAAACAAAACAAAATCTAAAATATCAATTAAGGATAATATTTACCAGTCCGTTATTTTTTTATTTTTATTTTTTGCCAGTCATGGTGCCTGAACTCTGGGCCTAGGCACTGTCCCTCAGCTCTTCAGCTCAAGACTATCGCTCTACCACTTGAGCCACAGCACCACTTCCAGCTTTTTCTGCTTATGTGGTGCTGAGGAATCGAACCCAGGACCTCATTAATGCAAGGCAAGCACTCTACCACTGAGCCACCTTCCTAGCCCCACCAGTCTGTTATTATCAACACAAAATTTCTTTTTTGTATATGTGTGCTAGCCTGGGGACTTCAACTCGGGGCTGGGCACTGTCATTGACCATCTTTTATTCAAGGGTAGCACACCACTTGAACAACAGCTCCAATTCTGGCTTTTTTGGTGACTAATTGGAGATAAGTGGCTTATGGACTTTTCTTGCCCAGGCTGGCTTTGAACCACAATACTCAGATCTCAACCTACTGAGTAGCTAGAATTACAGGCATAAGCTACCAACACCTGGCTCAGTCAACACAAAATTTCTTTATCTGAAAAGGAAAAACAGTATGGATAGGCAAAGGAAGAAATGTGAACATAAATATTAAGTGGATAGAGCTAGAGAAGAAGCAGAAGATTTATTGTAGTCACCTACTGAAAGGTACAGTACAGTACTTTCTGTAGCCGTCCACCAGTTTCCCTTGACCTGACATCCTAGCAGGGCTCACTTCTGTCTTTCAGAGGGAAGGTCCTTTGAACTCACCTTATACAGGAAGACAATGACTTTATTACATACATTTAATTTCTTTAAATAATTTCTTTAAATAAATACACATAATAAAATGTGTATGGAAGAACGCTACAAGTTGAATATTCAGATATTGAGGTAAGACCAGAGATCCGTTCTAGAAATACATTCTATAGAAGCTGGATGCCTGTAAAAAAGCTACAGTACATATAAACAGTGAAAGAAAAAGAAGAAGAAAAAAGGTAGTAGTGGCTTTTGCCTGTACTCGTAGCTACTCGAGAGCTTGAAATTGGGAGAATCCACCATTCCAGGTTAGCCCAAGCAAAAAGTTAACAATACTGATCTATTTTCAACTAGTGCTTAGTCACAGTGGTGCATATCTGTCATCTTAACTTGGACGCTAACACTGGGAAGGTTGTAGTTCAGGTCAGCTTGCATAGAAAAGTCTATGAACTCCATTTCAACTGAAGAAGCTGGGTATAGTGGCCTGTGCATGTCATCCTAACTACAGCAGGAAATCTAAGATAGGATGACTGCAGTCTGGGCAAGAAGAAGAACCTCATCTCAAAAATAATCAGTGCTAAAAAGGGCTGAATGTAGAACACTTGCCTAGTAAGCATAAGGCCCAGTATTCAAGCCCAAATATTGCCAAAAGGAGGAAGAGAATAATAGTTGGTCAAAGGTAAGAATGGCCAGAATCCAACAAAGTTCCCAACCACATTAGGTACTAAGATCAAGGAAGACGATGTCATTTGACATTCTTCTGCACTATACCTGAATATACCATTTAGTAGTACAAAAGATATATTTTAAGTGAAGTTATGACCTAAGTGATAGAGCACTAGCCTTGAGCAAAAAAGCTCAGGGACAGTGCCCAGGTTTTTTTTTTTTTCTGGTCGTGGGGCCTGAACTCTGGGTTGTGTGTGTGTGTGTGTGTGTCTTTTTTGGTCAGTCCTTGAACTTTTTTTATGTCTTCAGTCATGGGGCTTGAACTCGGCTTGAGCACTGTCCCTTAGCTCTTTAGCGCAAGGCTAGCACTCTACCACTTGAGCTACAGCACCACTTCCAGTCCTTGAAGTTTTTTGCCAGGCTTGAACTCAGGGCCTAGGTACTGCCCTGAGCTTCTTTTGCTCAAGGCTAGCACTGTACTACTAAAGCCACAGTGCCACTTCTGGCTTTTTCTGTTTATATGGTATTAAGGGATTGAACCCAGGCCTTCATGCATGCTATGAAAGCACTCTACCACTAAGCCACATTCCTAGGCCCTTAGATATTGAAATCTTAAGTGTAAATTAGTTAATCAGATCACTGTTTTGAAAGCCTTGCAGTAAGTCCCTACAGGATCTAAATGTCTTAGAAGTGATTTTTAATGAAGTGATTCATTAAGTGGAGAAAAATTAAGTAGGAGGAATATCTAGGGGTACATTAGTTACTTTTCCATAGCTATGACAAATACTTGGTAAAACAAGTTAAAGGAAAGATTTATTGTGGCTCACACTTTTAGAGGTCTCTGTACCTCATAGTGAAAGTATATAGAGCAGAGTAGTTCACATTTGATTACCAAGAAGGGGGGGGGGGGATGCAGGAAGCAGTAAGAATAAGACCTAACTTTCAAGGACACATTCTTGGTGACCTACTTTATCCAACTAGGCACTACTTTTTGGCACCTCTCAATAATGCTATCATACTAGGAATCCATGGGGATTAATCCATTCATTAACTCAGAGATCTAATAGTCTAATTGTTTGTATAAATGTCATCAGAGATATATCAGAGTTATGCTTCACTAATCTCCTAGGTATTTCTCAATCCAATCAAGTTGAATAATAGAAGATTGACCATTATGTATAATCAGAGTTAGAAGGATGAAGTTGTATTGGAGTATTGGAGTCTAGCTGGGGCAGAAATTTAGCATGAGGCTTTCTCAAAAATAAGCTTTTTGTAGCATAAGTCTGAGGTCCCAGCTACTTGAGAGGTAAGTTGGTGAATTAATGGTCCAAGTTAACCCTGGAAAGAGTGCCAAACCCTATGTAAGAAATTGAAACCAAAGGGGCTGGGAAGGTGGCTCAGTGGTAGAGTGCTTGTCTTGCATGCCTGAGGCCTTGGGTTTGATTCCTTAGCACCACATAAGCAAAAAGAAAAAAGCCGGAAGTGGCGCTATGGCTCAAGTGGTAGAGCGCTAGCCTTGAGCTGAAGAGCTGAGGGATAGCGCCCAGGCCCAGAGTTCAGGCCCCACGACTGGAACCAAAAAGAAAAAGAAAAAAAAAGAAATTGAAACCAAAAAGACTTTTCTGAAATATTTGCTCTGAAATTAGTAAGTTGAATACAGAATCCATGTTTGAGTTGCTTGCCTTGTTTGGCCAGAGCCCTTTTGCTTTGAGGTGACAGTACTCATTTCTTTTAGAAGGATTTCAGGACAGATATTGCCCAGTAACTTCACTCTTCTGTAAGAATGAGAAGTTACACATATGAAATACTTAGTCTACTCCTACTTCTTTCTTAAATGTTTAAAACACCTAATATTATGGTGACTTCATTAATATGTCCACTTAAAACAATTTTTTGTTTTAGGTTCAGACTGAAGAAGAAGTATTAGAGAAAAATCTTAGTAACTGTGAAAAAGAAAATAAAAGGCTACAAGAAAAGTGTAGTGCATATAAAAATGAACTTGAGGTTCTGAAAGAGAAATTAAGGTACAGTATTCTATTGTGGAAAATGATATTTTGTGTAGAAATGGAAACTGAAACATTCATATATTTAAAAACAAAGTTTTATATTTTGTGGTTATAGATTTACATACTATAAAAAGATAAGCTGGGCTGGGAAGGTGGCTCAGTGGTAGAGCACTTGCCTTGCATGCCTGAGGCCCTGGGTTCGATTCCTTAGTACCACATAAGAAAAAAGAAAAAAGCCGAAAGTGGTGCTGTGGCTCAAGTGGTAGAGCACTAGCCTTGAGCTGAAGAGCTGAGGGATAGCGCCCAGGCCCAGAGTTCAGGCCCCATGACTGGACCCAAAAAAAAAAAAAAGCTTCATAACTGAAACTTTTTTAGGTATATAGTTAAATTTTAAGTGTATTCTAAATTATAAGTGTTAACATACTTATAACTATAAGCTAATACTAGTCAACATATGTATTTGTTTTACATATTTTAGAGAAAATTAGCCCAGACATATTATATGATTACATTAGCTGGCTAGTAAAGATAATCAAATAAAAAGAAATTTTTATATTGTGAGGAATCATGTAGTCTAACCTCGTTAAGTAAAGACACAGACCCAAAGAGTAACTACTATTTGTTCAAGGTTCAGATGGTAGATGATGAGTAAAGGGAATTGCTCAAGTGGTAGTCTTATCTAGCAAGCTTAAGGCCTTGAATTCAAATCCCATTGCTGCCAACAAAAGAAAATGTTGAAGCCAGGCACCAATGGCTCATGTCTGTAATCTTAGCTACAGCTAATGTGGGCAAGGAAGTCCATGAGACTCATTTTTAGTTAACTTCCAAAAGGCCAAAAGTGATAATGTAGCTCAAGTGGTAAAGTAGTAGCCCTGAGCTTTTAAAAAAGCTAAGGGGCAAAACCTAAGCCTTGAGTTCAAGCCCTATTTTTTTT